CAATTCAGATCAAATTAAATGTTTCTAACATATCACCTTCCCAACAGAGGGCAATGTATGACCTACTGAAAAAAAAAACATCGTTATCAAAAAAGCAGACAAAAGTAACACTGTTGTGATAATGAATAAACAACAATACATTGAAGAGGGTCTGCGCCAATTATCAACACAGTATTATACTGAAATAGAAAAATCTAATTTGTCTATTATCTATAAACCTATAGAGAACAAACTAAATGAAATGTTTCAAAAAAAAAATTAGACAAACAAACATTCTCATATCTTACAAAAAAAAAACGATCAGAATATACAACCAGGGCGACTTTATTACTTTATTTATTGCCTAAAGTACATAAAATGAGAGAAAATGATAAAACATTTCCAAAAGGTAGACCCATTATATCACAAATAGGGTCACCAACGGAAAGAATAAGTCATTGCGTTGATTATTTCCTACTACCTATTGTTCAATCTCAAAAAACGTATATCAAAGATACTAAAGATTTCATCAATAAAATTGAAAGTATCAAACCGCCAAAGAACTGCTTACTCGTCACTTACGATGTAACATCAATGTATACAGATATGACCTTCAATGAACTTTCTACGGCGGTAGAAGAAGCGCTATCGAATTTCGACTGCAGCATGCACTCAGACATTCCTTGTCCTGAAACAGCTGACTTGATGTTTTTACTAAAGTGCATTCTAGAAAACACAATATTTGAATTCAATGGCAAATATTACAAACAAACAATCGGGTGTCCAATGGGAAGCCCCAGTAGTCCAGAAATATCGGACATCAGAATGTATCAAATAACTGAAATGTTAGTAAACAAGTCAGAATACAAACAGAAAATTTGTTTTCATGGGCGATTCCGTGATGACAGATTTATGATTTACGATGGCTCGGAAAACGAAATAAAACGGTTTTTCGAAACAGCAAATGAATGCCATCCCTTACTGAAATTTACCTATGATTTATCTGAGGTATCACTACCATTTTTGGACACATGTGGATAAAGTAACCCGATTCCAAGATTATCATATTCTTGATGTGAAGTCATATATAAAACCAACAAATACATTTCAATATTTGCACCGCCACAGCGCTCACCCCAAATCAGTATTTAAGGGTTTTATTAAGGGGGAATGTATAAGACATGTTCGCAATACAAGTGACAAGACACAATTACAGGAAGAACTTGCCGAGTTCAGTTCACATCTTTTAAAAAGAGAGTACAAAAAAATTGAGATTGACCCAATTATTAATGACTCCTTGGCTTTAAACAGAGTCATTACGTTACAAGAAACTAAGAAAACAAAGGAAATACGCAGCATTTTAAGGCTTCAATTAGGGGGCGGGGCCTAATTTATACGGAAAAGTTTACTGTGACGTCACACAAAAATATGACTTTTATGTATTTCTCATGATACCTGAAAATGAAATTATTTGCAATTTTTAACTGTATTAGCATAATAAACATCAATTATACCTATCAATGCATAAAAATACGGCGCTCAGCAAATCCCGTGTACCTAGTTTTAAACAAAGCACTGATTGCGATGACCTTGTATAGATGACGTCATTTTGGTAAACATGGCGTATTTCATGTACTGTGAGAGGCAGATTGAGGACTTTTTTAACAATGAAAAATGCGTTTTAAAATAAAACGGAATATTATTTACAGGTTTTAAATAGTCGATTAAAACCAATGTAGATCCTTTGTTTAGTGCGATTATTCATTAACTTTCAAGAGAATGTATTTTATTAATTATGTTGTGCTTTTATGTACAGATTACGTATATTTTACATCGAGATACACCATAAAATTCTACTTTCGCAAGGGCATACACTGTATAGATCTTAATCATTTTTTGAAAATAGATAAAGGACATTATCCTTAACTGGAAAAGTGCTGCTGCTTTCTTTAAATCGAAGGCGTGATTTCATAAGTACACAGAATATTTGGTAAAAGTCTAATACTTTTTGACATTGGCCTATTTACTTTAAAATTTATCTATTAAAACGCGAATTCTATTCAAAGCAGCAGCACTTTTAAGAAACTACAAAGTGTGCAGAAACAATTACTAGCTTGAATTTTTAATTTCAGCTAGGGTATGCCCTTGCGATATTGAAATTTGTTAATGACCTACATTTAGTACACGTACTATGCATTCATCACGTGACTGTCCATCGATGGGATTAAACGCCATACAGTACAGAGTTGGTAATACTATGCTATTTTCATAGGTATTAACGTTCTGTGATTATAAAACAGCTTTATTGAAATAAATTTAATTTAAAATAATACCCTTCTTTTTGTACATATATTTTCCGATGATTTCTCATAGTAGGCCTTAACAGTGGTGCGTACCTAATGTTCTTATTACAAAGTATGATCCAAGAATCAAAGGTCTGAAATCCAAATTATTAAAATACTGGTCATTAATCTTGAAAGATGAATTTTGTAAACAAATTTTTCAAACAAAACCAATGATTGCATATGCTAAGCATAAAAGTATTGGTGATTTGCTAACAAATGCTATTTTGCCACAATAAAAATTACGGCAGGATCCCTGATGAAGGTGGGGCCGTGATTTAGATTTTTAATACATCAATACGATATAAAACCACCGAAACACACTGCTGAGAAAACATTAATGTCAATAAGCAATAACTTATTCAAAACAATGTCAAAATGAAAGAGAAATAGAAAAATCACAGCACTGTGTCGGGTCCTATAAATTTAGAATTGCGTGGCTGATGGGTGTTGCCTATATGCACGAGTTTCAATCTGGGTTTCGGAGTAAATATTCTACTGATACATGCCTTATACATTTGTTGGACCATATTAGGGACAATAACTCTAAGGGATTATTTACAGGAATGATAATGTTAGACCTACAAAAAACATTTGATACAATGGACCATGAAATATTATGTAACAAGTTAGACATTATGGGAATTGATAATCTATGGTTTAAGTCATATCTAACTGGCAGGTCTCAGGTGGTGGGTTGCGGAGGTGTTGTATCTAAGTCAAAGAAAATTACTTGTGGGGTTCCCCAAGGGAGCATTTTAGGCCCTTTATTGTTTTTATGCTATGTTAATGATATGTCCATCAGTATAGATATAGATTGCAAACTCATTCTTTATGCTGATGATGGCGCTATTTTATACTCACATAGAGACCCTAATGTTATCTCTAACAAACTTGGGAAGGTGCCAGAGAAGTGTTCCCAGTGGCTAATAGATAATAAGTTATCTCTCCATCTTGGAAAAACAGAGTCTATCCTTTTTGGCCCAAGTCGCAAATTAAAAAATGAAGGTCAATTAAAGTTTAAATGTCACGATCATATTATCAAATCCAGTGACTCTGTTAAGTATCTAGGAATCACAATTGATAAATTTCTAAAATGTAACCTAATAGTAGATGAGATCGTGGCCAAGGTCAATTCTAGACTGAAGTTCTTATACAGGAATGGAAAATGGTTAAATAAAAGATCCAGATTAACATTAGCATCTTCACTAATTCAGTGCTATTTTGATTACTGTTCATCAGTATTGTACGAAAGTCTGTCCAAATCTTTGAAAAATAAGTTACAAGTTCTTCAAAACAAAACAGTAAGATTTTATTTTATATCTGAATCCTAGAGCCAGGATCAATTGCGATATTTTAGATTCAATAAATACACTACGTGTATCTGATCGTGTTGAGACTAAATCATGTTTTTAACATCAATCATAGCCTAGAACCAAATTATCTAAATGAGAATTTTAATAGGAATAATAATGCTACTAGGGGAGCGTCCAATTTTAATTATCATGTACCCAGGGTTGGAGCGTACAATGATTCAAATTTTGATTATCAAGTCATTTTAAACTGGAATTCTCTTCCAGTGGAAGTAAAAATTATAGCCAATAGAGCTAGTTTTAAATCTGCTGTTAAGTTGCATCTAACACAAGAAGCTCGAAGGAGTGAAGAAAGTATTAATATATGAATTGTTACAAGGGAATGAAACTTTTTAAAATAATTTGTATTAACCTGAAACTGTGATTATGTATTTATATGTCAAATTATTTTATTCAGGCTAGGAAAATTATGTAACTTCAATTTTATTTTTGTCTATGCTGTCTTAGTCAATTAAATTATAATCAACTTGTACCATTTTAGGACCCCATTGGAATTAGGCATGCCTTATATATTGCTTTCATGGGCTATCCTAGGCAAAGATTGATAAAAAAGATGTTTATTTGTGTTGTATGTGATAAGATCTGGTTCTGAGATCTGTATAATCCTGTGATAATGATAACTGTGATAATACCTGGAGTGATATTGTTTTAATGTGAAAGCTACATGCACGTGCTAGAACTTTTAAGCGATCCCTAATTAATTTTTGAATGTAATTCGTGTTATGATTTGTAATGAATGTGACTCTTTGCCTGAATAAACATAATAATAATAATAATAATAATAATAATAAAACCTCGTTCTATTATTACTGAAAAAGCTCTAATTGAAAATTTAGAAGAAAAGGATGAGAGAGAAGTACAATAATTCCTTGAGAATAATAATCTTGCTTGCTGCAGAAAATTTAGTAGGCTTATCTTTATCTGTCACTTCAAGATTAATGAAAACTTCTTTCTGCAACTGCTGTACGTTTTGAACTTAACCTTAAACCTTCATGATATTTGCATTCATGGGAGGTTTGCATTTTACATAACACAAACTTCATTATTGTTTATATATTTATATACAGGTTTTTGAATATTCAGGAATTATCTTGAATTTTTAAAAATACATTTATTGTAACAGTTGCTTATTTTTAAATTCATATATTTTTTACTCTTTTCGAAAGTGCATCCCTATAATTCTACCCTTGGCGGAGCCCTTGCTGACTGGTCATTTTTCTAGTTAATATAAATTTAGATATTCATAACTTAAAACAAATAAAATTTTAGATTTAAGAATATCAAATATTCTGTGTTTTTGTTACAGAAAAACCCAACTTGGAGAAACTGAGTTTAAGTAAAGAGCAAAATGACATCAAAATTATCTGCAAGTTCAGAGTAGATGAACAAACCCCAAATGCAGATCAAATTCTGTGGGAAAAGAATGGACAATCCTTACAAAACTGTCTTAGAATGCATGTTGATCATTCCAAAACAGACAGTACTTTAACAATCAGTCGAGCAACAGGAGACGATTTTGGTGAATACAGTTGCAATGTGTCTAATGCTGTAGGGACTTCCAAAGAGTGCATTGTTCTAGGTAGTATTTAACTTGTCAATTGTAGATCACCGAGAAAAAAATAAATTAAAAAAAATTACTTCATGGTTTTAAGCTCACCTGAGCCGAAGGCTCAAGAGAGCTTTTCTGATCAAAATTTGCTCGTTGCCTATCTTTGTCCTTGTCGTTGTTGTTATTGTTGTCGTAAATCTTTCAAATTTTCATCTTCACAGGAATCACCGGACCAATTTCAAGTATACTTAGGTGAAGGGGATTCAATGGTACTTTATAAGTCACCATGTTTGCATATCTTATGACCAAAAGTAATATTTATTAAGTGTTATAAGTATACAATTTTTTTCAATTTCTTTAAACATGTAGAAGAAACACTGTATTGCACCCTTGATCAAATTACAAAGAGATTTAAAAACATCAGATGTTTTTTTAAATTTCTAAATACATGTAGAAAACGCATTGTAATGCACCCTTAATCAATTCAAAAAGAGATTGAAGAACGGATTTTTTTTTTAAAATTCAGTACATGTAGTGTTTTTCTCTGTATATAAGAATTTACATGTGCCTATTGTTATTATTAAGAGAAATGCCACATTATATGCGTCACTATTTTATATAGCTTATCTAGTAACCAGTTTACAAACAGCTGAAAGTACTTCATGCAAATGAATGGCCACACTCCCTTCTAAAGGTAAATAATTATGAATAAGTGAAAAATTAATGTCATATAAAAAAAACTCATATGGAAGCATCCTTAGGCAGTGTAGGTTCAAATTTGTTCAAATCATGACCCCGGCGGTAGCGGTAGACTGGGGCTAGAATAGCCTTTCAAAGTTAAACATAGGAGTATATAGATAAGATCTTCAGAAAACTTCTTCTCAAGAACCACTGGGCCAGGAAAGATGAAACCCATGTGGAATCATCCTCAAGTAGTGTTTATTCAATTTTGTTCAATCATGACCCCCGGGGATAGGGTGGGGCCACAACGGCCAATAAAAGTTTTTATATAAGAGTATTAAGGGAAAATTTGAAAAATATAAGAACCACTGGGCCAGGACAGATAAAACTCGGGTGGAATTATCCTAAGGTAGTGTAGATTCTAAATTGTTCAAATCATGTAGTGTAGATTAAAGTTTAGTCAAGTTTGGTCAAATCATGGCCCCTGCGGTAGGATGGGGCCACAATGGCCGATCAAATTTTTAAATAGGAGTATAGAGGGAAAATCTTCTCAAGAACCACTGAGTCAGGGAACGTGAAAATCATGTGTAATCATCCTCATGTTGTGTTAATTCAAGTTTGTTCAAATCATGACTCCTGGGGAAAAGGAAGGGGGGTACAATGGCAGATCAGAATTTTTACATAGGAGTATATAGGGAAAATCAATAAAACATTCTCTTTAAGAACCATAGGGCCAGGAAAAATTAAACTCGTGTGGAATCATCCTCATGTAGTGTAGATTCAAGTTTGTTCAAATCATGATCCCAAGGGGTAAGTTGGGGCCACAATGGCCGATCAAAGTTTTACATAGGAGTATATTTGGAAAATCTTTAAAAATCTTCTTCTCAAGAACCACTGGGCCAGGAAAAATGAAACTTGTGTGGAATCATCATAATGTAGTATAGTTTCAAGTTTAATTTGTTCAAATCATGATCCTAAGGGGTAGGGTGGGGTCATAATGGCCGATCAAACTTTCACATTGGAGTATATCGGGAAAATCTTCTTCTGAAGAACCACTGGGCAAGAAAAGATGAAAATCATGTGGAATCATCCTCATGTAGTGTAAATTCAAGTTTGTTCGAATCATGATCCTTGGGGGGCGGGGGGGGGGGGGGGTTGCAGCCACAATGGCCCATTTTACATAGGAATATATAGGAAAAATCTTTTAAAATCTTTTCCGCAAGAACCATTGGGCCAAAAAAGATAAAACATACATGAATGCATCCTCAGGTAGTGTAGATTCAAGTTTGTTCAAATCTTGACCCCCGAGGGTAGGGTGGAGCTACAATGGCCCATCAAAATTTTACATAGGAAAATATAGGACAAATCTTAAAAAATCTTCTGTGCAAGTACCACTTCGCCAGGAAAAAATGAAGCTCGCATGGAATCATCCTAATGTAGTGTAAATTCTGGTTTGTTAAAATCATGACGCCAAGGGGTAGGGTCGGGCCAAAATGACTGATCAAATTTCTACATAGGACTAGATAGGTAAATCTTTTTACATGAAAGCCATGATTAGTGATATTTATATGGAAACGTCCTCAGGTAGTGTAGATACTAGTTTGTTCAAATCATAACCGCCAGGGGTAGTGTGGGGCTGCAACGGGTTATCCAAGTTTTACGTTAAAATATATTCTTTAAAAATCTTTCACTCAAGAATAGCTTAGCCATGGTTAGTGGTACTAGTATTTATATGGAAGCATTTTCGAGTAGTGTTGAAAAATAAATGGAAAAATTCCAAGAACGGAAAAGCTATGTTAAGTCATATTAGTGGAGTGACAAGACCATCAAAAATTTGAATTTAATGTATCACCCTACCCTACGGCTGATTTGTACTTTTTTGGTCAGATATATTATCACGCAATAATTTCTGCCCGGTCGTAGCAAATTCTATGGTCAGAATTTAAAATAAAGGGAGATCAAAGATCAATGAATGAAATCTGACCATATAATTGTATACAGTGGACCCTCATTTATCCGGACGCTTTGGTTCCCAGTCAATTTGTCCGGATATGTGAAGCATCCGGATATCTGAATCACCAGTTAAACAAGACAGAATAACATTTTAAAATTTCGTTCCGATGAAAAATCGTCCGGATACTGAAGCATCCGGATATCTGGCGTCCGGATATCTGAAGGTCCACTGTATATGAGTAAAAGTTCAAGTAATTCAAGAAAATAATGTATATTTGTTTAGGAATTTTATTTATTCGGTGAATACAGACACGTGCCATGGTGATTTTTGCAGAAAGTGTAGATGAATTACAATCTATTTTAAAAACATTGTATAATTATAGTACAAAATGGGACCTTACAATCAATATAGAAAAGACTAAAATTGTTATATTTAGAAATGGAGGGAAATTTGTGATAATGAAATATGGAATTTGAACGGAGAACGTATTGAGATTGTTGACAAATTTATTTACAGACACGTGCCATAAGTCAACGGCAAAAATGGCGTCACGATGTTTGTTAACGTTTTTTTACGGGATGGATTAAATAGAAAATAAACATAATAAAATCACATACCTGTATTTAGTATTTTGTCATTTCTCCTTTCACCCTAATTACTTTTCTCATACGCCTTGGTAAAGATCTGTAGAGGCCCTGTATATATTCAACCATCAATGCTTGCCACTCCTGTGTTACCGCATGTGAATGTTCGGCAGCAGTCCGAATGTTTTCAGCGCGACATTGCAATCGTCTTTTAAGTTTCAACCACACATTTTCGATTATATTCAAATCGGGAGATTGTGCTGGCCAGCTGATAGAGTTAATATCATTCCTAGCCTTATAATTTTCAACATCTCTGGCTCTATGTATGGGGGCATTGTCATCTTGAAATAAGAAATTTCCATTAGGAAAGTGTCGTGCTATAACTGGCCATATATTATTTTCCAAGATTTCAATATACTTGTGTCTTTTTATAGTGCCGTCTACGGTTGTTATAGTTCCAACACCATGCCAGGTTATACACCCTTAAATCATAACACTGACCTTTCGTTGAGCTGGGGGACACACGCACTCGGGAGACTCGGCTTCATCCTTTCGACGCCATATGAAAATCCTCTGATTTGCACCCAAAACAACTTGGCTTTCGTCAGAAAAAATGACTTGATCCCACTGACCATTAACATTCCACCTGACTTTACCTTTACACCAGTTCAGTCTCTTTTTCCTATTCACTTCCCTCACTCTAACTTTCTTCTTTACAACACGTCTGTGATACCCCTGTCGATACAAATACTGCTGGGCTGTTCGTTGGGACACTTGTCTGGGTCTTTGTTGATTGAATCTGTTGGTTAAATCACCCAAAGGAGTTTTACGGTTTGTCCGAACCAGCCTCACTAAACTTCTTTCACCCCTGGGATTGAGAATCCGTGGTCGCCCGCTTCGACGTTTGTTTTCCGTGCTGCCCCTCTTTTTAAATCTTACTATAACGGAAACTGTTCCACGACGTAAGTTGAGTGTATCGGCAATATGCTGTAATGTATATCCCTCATTGAAGGTAACCAATACTTTTATTCTACGGTAATTTTTTTTATTCGCCGCCATGTTGATTTTTGACGGTGAATTATGGCACGTGTCTGTATACTGATTTTAAGGAAAGAGAACGAAAAATTGAATAAGAATGCCCGTTTGTCTGTCTGTAAAATGAAAAGTTTGTTTTATAGTATTTTATTTAAACTTAAAAGGTTAAATGCTAATGTACGTTATTCTTTACGTACAATCACGTAATATTTAGTACACAAAATAAAGAAAATAAAAACAAGAAGAACAACAACACCTATCACCCCCTACCCCCCCCTCCCCCCCCCCCCACACACACCACCACCACCACCACAACCCAAAAAACCGAAATATGACCATAAATTTCGCACTTTTTTTAATGTTATGTTTTTAATAAACCTTTTTCATTTGATTCATTATTTTTTAAAGATATTGTTCGAAAAGAGCTTTTTTAATGAAAATTCCTCTATTGGTCATCCTTGCTCTTACACTGAATTTCGGTTCTCCGGTCTCATCCAAAGGTCAGACAACAGATAATTAAAGCCAAATATTATTCATTTCTCTGTCTAAAAAGGTCAATTTTTTTTTATCAATGATTGTTGTCTATGATTTGAAAATTTACTTTTAATTTGGTGAACTTTTGAAAAAGCGTTTACTCTTATATTAAGCCGGTTATATCGTAGAAATTTTGGAGTTTTTAAAGATTATAAACGCGTATTGGTGTTAAAATTTCAATTCTTTGGAAAGTTAAATTAATGATGCAATACGTTTGCTAGAGCTGTAATTTCTATTCATTGATTTTCATGTACATGCACGTACATCTATATCTTTATAGTTTAACTTTTCAAGAATATGTTTCATTTGAAAACTATAAAAGTAGAGTATTTGTAAAAGAGCTACACTGTAAAAGTAAGGATAGCCGATCCTTAAAAAGACACTTAGGTAGATAGATAATAATTAGAACGGGGCAAAATGTTGATCAAATGGCAATATTAACATTAAATGCATATCGTGCGTGGCTTTTTTCACATTCTGACTGGAAATATCTTTGAATTTTGAAAAAAAGGTTGATATCCTAAATACTCAGTAATCTTTGTACTTTCAACAGAAGTCATGGTACTTTTAGATCAAGTAGAATACAAGACTTAGTGCGAGGATGTCTTTAAAAAAGTGCGGTTTATTTGGTCAGAAATCATTGTCTTGTAAATCTTTCTAACTCTTAAGTAAACATTCGTTATTAATATTGCATGAAATAATTGTATTGGATATATTTTGTTGAAATTAACGCAGTTTCTACAACAAAACATAAGTTTTTTTAAGGGATGGGCGGGCAAATAATATTTCTGATTAATTTTTCATTATTAATTAAGATACCTGAAGCTATCCTATCACATATAAATTAGTTTTTTTTTTAAATTAATAATCAATGAAGGATATGGAAATAACGAACAGTATTCAATCTCAACGTCCAATCTTTGATATAGAATATTATCAGCAAGTAAAATAAATGACTTAAATACCCCCCTCTTTTCACTTTCATCGTAAGTTAAAAGAAATTTGACTTGAGAAAACTCTAGATCTACGACCGGGCAAAATTGCATGAGGAGGGATGTCTCTTTTATAAAATATAACTTTCAGCCGTAGGGTATGCCGGTCCATTAAACTCAAAAACTAAGCATCTTTTTCTAGGATGGTCACTTCACTATATTGACATGTAAGCATCTCCATGTATTGAAGATTTCTCATTCAATTATGGCCCTTTGGGGTAGGGAGGGAAACAATGTGGAATCAAATTCAAATAGAGGAAGAAATTTTTTTTTTAATCTTTTATCAAAAACAGCAAGGCCATATGCTATATTAATATGAAAGTATTCTCAAGTAATATAAAAATTCAAACTCCACCACTTTTCAGTAAACTTTTCTGATCTGATTTGTGCTTTTTCCTAGCCGACTTGCTCAGGTGAGCGATGTGGCCTCTGGGTCTTTTGTTTGGATTCTATTATATTTACATAGAAACTGTCTCTTTTGCAGGAATATCAGTAGTTACAGCAATTAAAGAACTGAGTGTCCCTTTTGGAGATTCAGCGCTTATTCAGGCCAAAATAGTGTCTTGTCCACCTGTTGAGAACATTTCGTGGCAGAAAAGTACATCTGGGGAATCTCATGCAGAAAAATTCCAAACTATAAACGTTAATTTATCTAAATATTCTGGAACCACATTAGATTCGACAAATCCGAAGTTAGTCATACGACAAACAACATTTCAGGACAGAGTTTTTTATCAGCTTCTGGTATCAAATGGTATCGGAAGATGTGTTAGTAGCAGTACATTTCTAGACGTAAAAGGATGTAAGTTCAGCTTTAAAAAAATTAGATTATATCAATTCAGAGAAGCGTTATTAAAATAGAGGTCTGGGTATTTGTATCTAAGTTTAAATATATAGGAAAAATCTTTGATAATCTTCTCAAGAACTACTGGGCCAGAAAAGCTGAATGTTTTGTGGAAGCATCCTGGGGTAGTGTATATTTCAAATTGTTTAAATTATTATCAGTTGGGTAGGATGGGGTCACAGTATGTATTACAATGGGGAAATCTGGTAAAGAACAGAATGGTCAAAGCTTTATAGGTGAGCTGATGAAAAAGTCTTCATTAAGGAGTTCCTCTATTTAAAAAATGTACATACATAAAAGATTTGCAGATTGTCTTCAAAAATTTAATTTTATTTGAAGCAAGATAATGTTTTACATCTTTCATTGACATTAAAAACATATACACTGATGAATTCCCTAGTACTCCTGCCTTAACTGGAAGATGTATAGTTTTAAAATTTTATTTAATTAATGGATATTATTTATAACTATATTCTTATGCTATTTACAGCCCCTCCAAATGTGTTCACCGGTCATGAAACTAATTTTCAAAAACAAAGTGTTAAGCTGAAGTGCAACGTTTATTGCGCCGATTCCCAACTAACAACATTAACTTGGACCAAAAATGACGAATGCGTAGATATTTTGGGAAGTGACGGGAAATACCGTGGAGGGAACCAAGAAAAACCAACCTTGACAATAGAATCAGTAAATGCAGGAGATGCAGGTATATATCTATGTCGGGCAACCAATGCCTTGGGAACAACAACGAGCGAACCATTGACTTTAGGTAAGTTTTTTTTAGATGACTCTGGTTCTGTGTCTGGTTGAATAAGATTTTCAAAGGATATATTGATAAACATACTTTATAATGAGTTGTTAGGTATTTCAAAAGTCATATTTTCCAATTGCTATACCACAAACAGTATTTATAATTTAGCAGCAGTGAAAGAAAATGTCGCATTTTTTGCTATCGAAATTTACAATGGATTTTTATAAGTCTTCAAGAAATTGCAAACTAATTAAATTCTTTGTTATGGTTGTATTTTTTAATAATTTCAAAAAACCCTAAATTCTAGACTTTTATTTCGAATTCAAAGGGATATACCAAATCAAAGTAGGCATGTATTTGTTTTACAGAACCTGATCTTATCACAAGTAATTCAATTTATCGTATTCTAAATCAAACTTTGACTAAGATAACCCGTGCATGTATATAAAACTTGCTTATTTCTATAGAGTCCTTAGATATTACAAGCTGATTATTGTTGAATTGTTCATAAGGAAATCTAAAGATTGGCAATATAATCTTTTGCTCGGATTAGATTTTTAGATCAATTTCAAAAAAATTTCAGTGTTGGATATTTTCAATATTTTAAACTGTAAATAAAGAATTCTGTGTACAATGTAGGTCCTCCAGATATCACATTGAATAATGAAAGAATCAACAAAGACAGCGGGATTATGAAAATACAAGCTTCAATTAAGTCTATTCCCGATGCCTTTAAAGTGGAGTGGAAAGTTCAAACGCACCCAGATGATGAATTCCATCCAATTAATTTACATGATGAAACTTACAAAGGAACTACAATTTCTATTCCAAATCCCGTGCTTGTTGTTAACAGAAACAATTCAAATGATTTGAAAATATATAAAATGGAGGTTACTAATTTTATTGGTGTTCATTCCGTTACTACTCAAGGTAAGTTTAAGATATGGATATCCGCTTTTTTATGTCCCGTTCGAAGAAGGGAAGGCATATTGTTTTGCTGCTGTCTGTGGCTCGGTCTGTTGTAGTTTTTGTTCATTTTCCTCGCAACAGTTGCTGAAATGGAATTTGCATTCAGATATATCAGATAAATATTTAGAGCAAGTTGTGTATTGGGTACGATAGCACCATTTTTGTTCGTTCATTTTTTTTGCAACCGTTGCACATACTGAGATGGAATTTGGTATACAATTTTTAATTTGTATTTAATTTTGGTACATAATTGAGTCTTTCAATTTCATTCAAATCAACATTATTATAAATTCCAAGTAAGGTTAATCTTGTACATCCTCACTTAAGATTACACTCATGACATAATATTTCTTGACTTAAATCTTTTGGAAACAATCCAAACGAAATGGGATTTTTAATAATTGATATATAAACCAGACATTCCGGAAAATTTTGTTGATGTTTTCATCACTTCTGTCAGTGATTCCTTGCTACCGTCTAAAAGGAGGGAACTGTCAACTACTAACTGGGAATTTTTTTCCAATGTTTTTTATGATGATTTCCTTGATTTTTTGTTCTTGTCATTATTTCGTAAATTTCTGCACACAAAATAAAGATCTGGGATGATGGATGATCCCCTTGTCTACATCCTCTCTGTATATTAAATTACCACTTTGATTAGTTGTGAAAATTATATTAGTGTAAAACAATTTTACCCATTTTTTTATTGAGTGGTCAAAATAAACAAAAAGAACTGCAGGGAATTTTGAATAAAATTTCATGAAATAGTGACAAAATATTTTTGGAAGTCGATCAAAAGCAACCAGTCTAGTATATTTTCTTCTTCTGTTTACTGTATAATATTAGAAATCAAATGTGTATTTTCTCCTTAGTATCTTTTGGATACATATCATATTTGGTCACTTATCTATTAATTTGTCAAGTTTCCTTTTTAATCTGTTAGCAATAAACCTGATGCAATTTTGTATACATGTATAGTATTTAGGAGTGTTATTGAGAAATTGTCTTGGATAATCCTTCTTTGGTAAAATTGTTATTATACCATGTGTCTGTGTGATAAACATAGGGTTATTCTCGTATGCATACCAGTAGTTAATAGATCTGGCAACAATATGTCTAAAGTATTTCCAAAAAAGCTTTAAAGGTACAGATTTGAAGTCAATACTTTTTTTTTAATATTACGACTTATATATTTTGATAGCATTTCACACAAAAATTAATTAAAAATCTTATTTCATTTTTTAATTATAATTTTTTTGTCGGGTTTGATTGACAAGTCCTTGCACTCTCACAATTTTACCTTTATCTTAATCCTTAGGAAAAGTGGTAATCTTGTTGTGTATTAATGAAAAATATTAATCCTATAATCCAGAAAATTCAGAGTAGACATGCCCGAAAGCAAAAGAAACACACAATATATTGTCAGTCTGTGCAGTTGTGCTGAGCATACTTTGGCGATTGAACACACCTGGTAAATCGTAAATATTAAACAATCACAGGCTCATGTCCTGTGTACAAAAACTGTGTACATAACACCAGTGTGCTGATTTGCTTAACTCTGTATTCAACGGAATGACGATACTTGTGATTGCGTTTAGCTTTTTAACATTTCTACTCTGAATAAAATTATTTTTGACTGGGTTTACGTTTTAATATTTCTCATTAAGGCACAACAAGATTGCCATTTTTCGTAAGGATCAAGGATAAGGTGAAATTTGTGAAAGTACAAGGACGTGTCAATCAAACCCGCCAAAAAATTAAAGTTTTAACATTGTTTAAATGAATTCAGATTTTTAATTGATCTTTTTGTGAAATGCTATGAAAATATATAATTAGTGATATTGTACAGAAAAAAAATAACCTCAAATCTGTGACAAAGTACCTTTAACAAATTCAGTATTTTGAAAACCATCAGAATCTGGTGATTTGTCTGATTTCGTTTTATTTAAACAGTGCTATAAGCCTCTTGTAAGGTAATAAAACCTTCTTATTCTTCAGTTTCTGCATTGGATAATTTTGGAGAATCCTCACCTATTAACTGAGGATTATCAATCGGACTCAATTCGTTCAGTGATTTAGGGATCCAGATTCAGAAAATGATTTTAGATAAGAAATTCGTTGTTTCTTCTAAAATTTGAGCTTGATCATAGATCATTTCTCCTGTGTCTTATTAAAGCATAGGTATTACTTTTACTAATATAATTTCTAGATTCTAGATAACAAATAGACTGGCAGTTTCTGTCTCACTGGTACAAAACGACAGGTTTCTACTGCCATCTTAAGCCAGGGATTCCTGACTTCATCGATGCGTCATCTATTGCCGTTGCCGTACGCTCTGGCATTGAAAATAACCACAAGAAGTCCATAATAAAGAAATAAAGAAATTGCTAGATTCTCATCCGAATTATTTTTAAAAATCGAGGCGGGGTGGTGGGGGGATGAGAATATAACAATATTTTTTTTTTACCTCAACTGATAACTTCTATCGACTATCTGCTGAGTCATCTCACCAATGAATGTTTAAAATATGAAATTTTCAAGTAATTTATGTTTTATTAAATTCCAATAATGTATGGTATATACTCTAATGTGATAAGAGCTTCGCAAGCCTAATTGAAATAGCTTCAGGCGAAGGTGTGTGTCACGACAGCCGTCGTGCTCTGTTCAGTCAGACAACAACAAGATTTTTTTTTTTCTATTTACAATTTTTTATCTATAAATAAAATCAATAAAAAAACAATATTTACAACATATTTTTTACAAAAATATCTACAATGAATATCACTTAAAGTCTTCATATATCCATATCAATTCCTGTGTACCACGCGACCGCGTCCTGACTCTCCCCGTTTCACGACGGACTCCCGCCAACTGGCTCCCAGTGGGTTTCCGGTCCAGGTAACGCTGGTACCACGTGTCCACACAAAATGGCCCTTATAGATAGAATGTGGCTGGAATATGTCTGGAATATCTCTGGAACCTTTAAATTAAATAATATTTTAAGTCGCAAGTTACGTATACTAAAAATAACACGTCAACATTGACCACAGTTACACTTATGGCACACCATACAAAACAGTAGCGGTATTCTAACCGAACACTATTATAATAAGAAAAACGTTAAGAATACACAACATCTTAACAAAAGTGGTTTTAACTATTAAACCCACAACACCGACTTTATAAGCGGCAAAACAAAATAGTCTACGTACGTACATAACTTAGTACATTGCACAAAAATAGAAAATACACGCATGAGTAACTCTACCCAGCAAAACTGTATACGTAAACAGTAACGAAAAACATTACTTAATCAAATTCTTAAATAGTTCTACTTTCAAATGTATTACTCAAAACCTTACATATAAAATAAAAAACAAACTTACCCCTTATGGAGAAATGGTTACCGTTGATAACTACTTATCTACACATCTTGTAGTACCTCAAGCATGGCATGTAAAAAATCTATGAAAACGTGGACCCCGGCTACTTGGTCAGCTATGCAGCGATTTAAATACCCTCTATACAATAGGTCGTAACTGACCAATGCCTGCAAAACTTTACTTGAGGTTCAATAAAGGTAACAATAAGAAGAGGTCCAGTAAAGGGTAAATAAAATAAAAACCGTAAACATTATATAAAAACAATTATGATAAATATTGATTGTGACAGCGTGAGTGAAATATCTAATATAGGTCTCTGTTGAAACGTTAACAATTTGCATCAAAACCAAATGTAGAGAACATTTAAAAAGTATTATGGATATATTACGTTTTAAAATCCGAAAAATTGTAGGCCTAGAAATTATCAAAAATTATATTTAATATGATATAACTGC